GTTGAACTTTTTCTTGAACTTTTTCTTGAACTTTTTCTTGAAAGTTTACTTATCTATATTCAACGTTTAATTTTGCAGCTCGGTAGCCTGCATGTAAACACCCCAAGTAAAATTCACGATCTCCCAAGTTGTAGCTCCTCCAGGTCATAGTTCTCTCGGCTTAACTATGTCCAGGTTGTACGTAAAGATCACTATGACTTCTTCTTTCTTTTAAAATATTCCGTGCCCAAAATTTTTTCGATGGGTCTTAGTTCTCGAGGGGTCTTAGTTTTCGAGAGGTCTTAGTTGTCGTGGGGTCTTAGTTTTCGAGGGGTCTTAGTTTGCGAGGGGTCTTAGTTTTCGAGGGGTCTTAGTTTTCAAGGTAGACTTGATCACAAGTCGCGCTTTCAAGCGCGTAGCGAGACAGTTAGCGCGAAGCGCGAGCGAGCCGAGCCGAGCGAGTAAAGTTCCTGCGGGTCCTACCACACCAGAACAGAAAACCAAGCGAAAAACTGTGAGAAAGTCTATTTTCGAAGGGTCTTATTTTTCACAGACGCCTGATTAAAAGTCACCTTAGACTTTACAACTTTTATATAAGCCCTGACTTTAAAGAAAGTTTATCCAGACTGCTAGATTAGACAATATTATGTTATGTAGGGGTTAATTAATGTCTCCCATTTTCACAAAACAGTAAATTCTTCTGTATTTAAATTTCAGAAGTTAAAGATAATTGACATCCCTGCTGGTCATCAATAAAGTTCTGCATTAGAGAAGGGGACTTCAAGATGAAGTTCTAACCATTTGGAGGTAGGAGTCTGTAAACACTGTTACTTTGGAGCAAAAATAATGAGAACAGCTAAAATTACTGAACCCATTTGCTTATGAAGTCCAGATACTAAGCTTCGAGTATTTTGGGGTTGTATTCAATTTCCTTTTACTTTTCCACTTTTGTGGTTTAGCAGAATGATTTTTAATCCTGCTGTAGTCAAACTACAAGATAAATGCTGCACATGCAATGGTTGATTCTTTTTTTTTCTTTCCTGATGATTGAACACCCCACAGGTACATTTGTGATGTGCACCTGTAAATACTTTTGGAATCGCGTAGTATTTTTTCAGGGCTTGAAGGGAAAACAAATTATAAGCATTGAACTAAATTCCCACTTCTATTTTAATGCTTTGGCTTATAGTTTTAGAAAAACATCCTACATATGTATTTATAACATTTGAGTAAAATTAAATGCGGGGAAAATGACCAACTGAACATGGCAGACTAGCCAGTAATTTTGATGTTCCTTTGCACTTTGGCTTCTTTTTAATATAGTTGTAAAATTTGTTTTGTTGCAGAGAGGCTGGTGTTGATCCGGTAGTTATAGATTACATCCTGCCACCAATTGTTATTGTTGGAGATATTTATGACATTGATCTCCTGTATATAGTCACAGAGGGGAGTATTATTTGTCAGCTCCTACAAGAATTAAGGAATTACTGATGCTGTCATTGGCTTACTTGGCTCATTTTATATTTTTAATGTCTCCTACAATCAGTCAA